CAGCCGCAGCCGCAGCCGCAGCCGCAGCCGAGGGTGTGGGATGCAGCGCAGGCGTACAATGCGCGCGCGTCAGGATGATACCAAGCTACATGTTGTTCTTTCTTTTTTTTTGCTACAATGGACAATTCTTCTTCTACAGTTACACAGTGTTTGCAGGGTTAGCAGGTAAGGAGCGAGCACGAGACCAGGGTGCGGGATGGTGGTGACTGGTATGTTGATGGTACCCGCACACGCTTTTTTTTTTCGCCGGCGCGTACAAACGAGCCAAGACGGGACGGTGGGGGGGGTTAGGATGGCAAATAGACCGGCTCGGGCAAAGGCAGGGCCGTTGTTCATCCGCGGTTCCCGAAAGTCGCCCATGCGGCGCGTGGCGGGTTGAGCGGATTTGCGTCTCCGGCTTCGGTAACTTGATCTTTCCCGAAATCTGCCTCGCTTTGCACCGTGGGCACACCTGGCTTTGGGGGACGTTGCGATGCAGGCCGATGCAGTCTCTCTTGTATGCTCGAATCGGCGCGCGGGGGAGGGAGGCGGAGTGCAAGTGGGTGTGAAACCCGCGCGCGTGTGGACCGGTTAGCCCGACCGAGGCGGGCGCATCTAGACACCGAGCGGCCACCATTGGTGAGCAGGTGCGCCGGCGAAAAGCGCCAGAAATGGCGTGAAAAAGGGCCGTTGGGCCGGCCACTTTCTTTTTCTTTCTCGCGCCCAGCAAAAGCAGCAGCCCGTGCGAACTTGGTGCCCGTACCCCCGCTTGGACAAGGCGATCGGGCAGGAGTCGACGGTAGCTGCCGCCGCAATACGAGGACTGAGGACTGACTCGTCGGCCAATACAGAGTCGAGGCGGTTGCGCCGGTAAAGCCTTCCAGCCGTTCTCACGCTCGCAATCCATCGTCTCGCCCGCGCTTTTCGCCTTTTCTTTTCGCGCGTTTGGGTCGCTTCTCGGTTAGCAGGCGCTCCTCCTCCCCGCTGCCGGCTGCCAAAAGTTGCAGGCCAGCACAAGTCGACAGCGCCCGATACAGCCGTGCCCCCCCCGGACTTGACTTTGTCCTCCGCTCGACAACATCATCCCGCACCACCATCGACATTGCCCTTCTGCCTTCCCACCGCCATCCTTTACAAACCGCGCCTTCATCTTTTGCACGCTCCGGTGCCAGCGCTGGCCACCCACATTCAAACGCGGCGCTTGGTCTCCACCCAACCACAAAACCCTAATCCACGCACGCCACCACCTTCATCATTCTACACCGGCTGTATCATACGCGACCCTCCGCTCCTCCATTCGCCGGCCATCCGCTTCACTCGCCCCTCGACCGCAACTCGGCCACTACACAGCAAGCCTCGGTTCGTCGGTCCGTCGGTCAACACATTACACCGAGCACAACTAAGCTCGGCCATCATCGAGTCCCACACACTCTCGGTTCGCATGCATTGGCCATCAGAGAGGCCGCATAGCCCCTTGCCCTTTCGTCTGCTGCACCCGCCCGCCATGCCTCAGCTCGCTCCGTGATCCGTCCGCTCCAGTTCCCCACCCCTTTCAAAATGAATAGCCTCGCTGATGCTGCAGCCGAGGCAGCTGCTGCCGCAGCAGCAGCAGCAGCAGCAGCAGTCGCAG